GTGGATTATGAAATTGTGAAAGAGCCAGGGTTTTAATTCCTTCCAAGGGTTTGGGAGGTTTAGGGATTACCTTCCTCAAGAGCCTTCACTCCTTCATATTTTTCAAGAGAAAGGTGAAGAAGCCTGGGAGAGATGTTGACTTTATTTGGAGCCTTCATCCCTGCATTGTTTTGGAAATAAACTGTACTTTTCCAATCATTTTTCACAGCTCAACTTTGCCTTCTGAAGTAATAAACTTGCATCAATTTTGGTGGAAATCTTGTGGAGTTGAAAACTAGTGGACTTTAAAAAATGTTTTTTATATATTCCCTACATCATTACTGTTTATTGAATATTAAGATTGAAAATGAAATATCACTATATAACTGCATTTAGACTTCTTTTATAATTTATATTTGTTTACATACTTGTTTGCCTTCTATAGTTTTCAAACTAGATTTTTCTGATGTAAAAATTCATTTTCCGGGATTTTTGTGCCTACGGGGGATTTTTTGACTCTGGAAAATTTTTGGGCCCATGGGATTTTCGACCGCACGGGATTTTTGGGCCGCGGGATTTTTTTTTTTCCCACGGGATTTTCTCGTGCACCCGAACAAAAGTACTCGACGACGACTTACAGACGGGGTTTCGACGGCATCAAACGCTGTGAGTTCTGAAAAAAAAAATTTTTGAAGCGGGCGTCAAGAAATATTTTTGATTTCGCGTTCGAATATTTTTGACAGTTAATTGCATCAACGGTCTAGTTTCTAGTAAATTGATTTCTACACTATTTTTACTGAAAAAAATGCATTGGAAAGAACTCAAAAGTGATCCCTTCCCGCAAAATTTCTAAGATTTCGGGGCAAAGCCGCAAAATGAATGCTACAAAAATGCATGAGTTGTAGTTTTTCCAGCCAATTATATGGAGAAAGGTAAATCTTGAATTAAATTAAGTCCTGAATTTTTTCATCACATGCCTTTAGAATTTCTTGCATCATAAATAATGTTTTCAATTCTCAATGAGTGTTTACACTAGCTGAGATTGCAGTGTGCCAGAAATAAAAAATAATTCAGTCAATTATAAAAATTTGAAATATTATCCAAAAAGGCAGGTTCTGAAAGACGCAAGTCTTATTTTAAAAAATTTAGAAATTTTAAAAAGTAAAGAAAAACATGATCCCGAGAATGTGGCTCTGAAATTTATTCAAATTTTCTTTTAAATTGGAGACTCACGAGGAGCTTCGGGCATTCCGACCCCTCGAATGGGGGCTTTGACGGGTTTCAGGGCTTCCAAACGCTTGGCCTCGTAATCACTGGACGCCAATGCTTTAGCCATGGGCTCGTTTTGCACATCAGCTGCCAAGCTGTGAAAATATAAATCGACACAATTGAAAAGGCTGTTATTTATTCAATTTTTTTCAGTCCGCATAAATATTCACTCTGAGGCTTTGGTGAGGACTTCCTGGTCTCCCGGAGAAACCTCGACTGCCAACGTGCCCATGCCGAATTTTTTGCGGAGAACGTCAAGTGCTTGCAGCTGCAAATTGATGTTCTTTTCTACCATCATCCGCTTGAAGGCCTCGTAGTCGTCAGCTGCCCACAGTTGTTCATATAATGTCTGGAAAATTTTTTGACGATAAAAAAACAAAAGATTTTGCGTGAGCAAGGCTTGGTCAATATCTGGATAAAATGGAAGTACTGTACTGTACAAGATACCTGTTTGATTTTTCCAGTGAGCATCGGAGAACTGGTGACTTGCTCGCAGGCACTGTGGAAATCTTCGATCGAAATTTCCAGTTCTTGCATGTAGCAACTGAGAAGTCCATCCACCTTCATGCAATTCAAGACAAACAAATAAATCGCATTTATTTGATTTTTCAATCAATATCTGAGCAAAAAATGAAAATTAATTTTGCTCACCAAGTAGCGGTATTCGTTGTGCACAGCCTTGAATTCCTGTTGATTTTCCTCTTCAGGATCGAAAACTGCAAAGAGGATCATCGTTTAAATTTTCATTTACAGTATTTTATGAGGAACTTCAGAACAGCTAAATTATCTCGTTCCTTTCTGGAAAATGGTTAATAATTTTATTAAATCTGCTTGCTTCAATTTTTTTTTAGAAGAATAAGTACAGTATATTTATTGAGTGAAGTTTCGAAATTTCAACAATCTAATGTTCTCCTTGAAATTCTTCTTCAGGTTTTTGGACCAGCAAAAAATGTGCCTGTTCAAATCTCAAAGAGCCTGAAATTACATGAATAAATCAATCATTATCGGAAACTTATCCGGCATTATATAAAAATGTTCTTTCAACAAGCGGAAGTTTCTTCTATATCTTGAAATTCGACTTCAACTTCGGGGTTTTTAAAATGACGACGTCAAATTTCGGCCAGAAAATATTTGCAAGTACTGTATACTCACTGACACTTTTCCCTTCAATGAAAATCATGATGGGCACGTTCCAGATTTCCCCGGTGAGGAATTCAAACAGTGAATCCAGGATCCAAGTTTTTTCAGAGTCACCCATGATGGTCACTTTTTTTTAGTGTACTGTGTACGTTAATGAGCTAAAAACGAGTCAATCCACCACCGGAAACAAGTTTTTTCGGGTTTCCAGCAGCAGCCTGAAGCTGATCATGCACAACGGAAAACAGCCAACTGCTTCCAACACAACTGGGACTGATGTGTGTTTGATATCAGAGAACCGGAAAAAAAAAAGGGAAAGCCTGGTCAGATGCCATCGACTTGCCCTCGCTCCATTTCCATGGTGACCAGCCATCCAAACAGAAAAGTCTGCCGGCTGGGTCAGGTGCACTGGAATCAGCAGAAGCAGGTGAGCAACAGGGGTACGCAAAAAAAACAAAATGAAATAAGCAGGAAAATCAACTGGAAAATGGGCAGCGGTTCCCGGTATTGTGTTCCCGACGAATAATAAGCTTACGCCATTCAGATCGGAAATTCGAACGAATGACCGAATCGAAATGATTCCTTTTTTTTTTAAATTTGAACTGACAGAATTGTCGAATCACTCACGCAATCCAATGCCTTATCCAAATATTGCGTGGATAAAAAAAGGCATATACAGTAATAATGCGCGTGTAGAAATTTACTGTAATTCGAACTTCAACCTTCCCCTTTGAATAAAATACAACTCCGTGAGACGACTTCATTTAATTTTCAGTGCTTGATTCAATTCAATAAATGCATCTTAAAAATATTTTACGTATGGTTCTATACAATCTACCGACTGTATATATTGAGGCATAACAATATCGCCTCTATCTCTCAAAACATATTGATATATCTCCTACGAAAATTCACGTCAAGTTGAAAAAAAAGTATCTACCGGAAACAGATTTTATAAACGTCACACAAAATTTTCAAAATTTTTGCCACCTTATTGTATATATGCGTGTCCCCATGACTCGACGCTCGAAAATCTCACTGATACAAATTATTCGTGTCCTCACGTATTTAATTCATCAATTGCTCGGCTTTTGGTTGTGGATCGATTGAAAATAATACTAGGTCTAGACATGCGTATGTGAGCGTGATTCACTCAAATAATACTCACGAGATAATGAGGAATAGTGAAAAAATGACGAAGAATCGCTCGAATCTCTGAAGAAAAGAGGTGAAATGAATTATGGTAAAAAAAAGTACCGTACAATAATTGCCCAAATCTTTTTTTGTTGTTGTTGCATGAAGGTAGCATTTGAATCCAGATGAATGCTTCTCGATGATGACTGAAATTTAAAAGACACTTTAATGCACAGATCAACTTTATTTTAGGAATTTGAGTCGCAGTTTATTGCGGTGAACGAGATTCATTTTTGGACGAGAGCATCTACTTGATAGTATAACGGTACTACAAATTCAGGATCATAGCATGATGGTCAAATAAGGAAATTTCACCGGATTTTCTTAACTTTTACAAGAAACCACGTTCAGTTTAACACGATGTGCGATTGTATTCTTCGTAATGGGAAATGCTTACTTTCCTATACGATTACAAAGAAGCCAAGCATGGTATTGAATTTTGCATATGAAATAATTTTGATGCAGTATATCAGGAAACTGGTTGATCGCTTTATTGACATCATATCTTGACATCTGAGATTGACATCTGATCTCTCCAAATCGAACAAAAATGCCACTATTCGAAATTTTTTCTTTCATGAGTCGACAATGTAAGCTTGCAAGGTGAGGCTCAAAGAACTGTGATTTTGTGCTTTCAAAAAAGTTTATCTTCATTTTTTTTGCCAAATAATTATTTTCCTTGACTTCAATGTAGGATAAGCAGAACTCGTCATTCCGAAGAAAATTTCAACTCGAGGAATGCAAGAAATGCCAGTGCTGATAAAATTACACTCGTCTAAAAATCGGAAGTTGGTGACCGATCATCTTTCAAATCTAATGAGTGAACGAGTCAATATTTACAGAATCTTCTCTCAAGAAAAACTTTGTTCAGATAAATCTACGAAAGGTCGTGACACTGTACAATTATTCGTGCAGAATGCTGATCGCAGACGAAACCATCGTGGAAAATTGACAACTGAAGTGCCAGTCAAGTTTATACTGCATTAGAAAGTAAAAAAAATAACCTCATTCGTAAAGGTCTAGAACTACAGTTGCATAATTTCAGACCTAATTTTGTCATGAGAAGGAAAAATTATGTGATGGTCAAGATCACACGTTCAAGAGTAAATATGAAACCGTACTTGACGAGGATCACAATTTCGAAGCAGAATTTCCCATGACAATTTCGGACTGAACATGCATATATTAATTGATTCATGCCGCAAATCATCCTACACAAACAAGCTAGTCCCGATCTAATTCTAATTAAACGAATATTCAGCTCT